AGGGCCGCATAACGTCGCCACAGAAACTTTGCCCTCTCGCCAGGTTGCTCGGGGTGGAACCGCACCCTCTTGCAGACCTCAAGTGCCCGAGGGGGGGCAGGCGCTGGAAATCCATTGTCAGAACGCCGGCCCAGTGGCGGACTACAGCGCGCCGCCGCGGATTCGATTCATTCGTTGTTCAGCTGATCGTGGATGCTTCCTCGAGGTCCGCGAGGACGACGATCGCCGATGACGCTGGCTGGCGCAAGGGGCGCAGGGGCGTTTCTGGGCAACTACCAGGCGTTGAACGACGCACCAAACGCGTGCAACATGTGCGCCGAGCCATTTGTCGAGTGCGTTGTATGCAGCAGGTGTTTCAGACAAGGAGAGATTCCGAGGCGATCGACGAAGTCGACGTTGAAGCGATCAGGTAGACCTCTGAAGCTCTTCGTAGAGTCTCTCTCCGTGGCAGACGAGAAGCTCCTCGGGATCTCTTTCACTGTGCTGTGTCGGCGGAGACGTGGCGGCAGACGGGGCGGCCCTGCGCGCGCCGCGGGGCTTCGCGGCCGAGTTTCAGATGTTGTTTCTCGGATTGTCCCGAGTATATCACTCTACGTACCAACACTGCGATGAGGCTGGGCATTCCCGTCAATTGTTGGACCTCGTTCCCAAGAGTCACGGCAAAGTCTGGATTGCGCTGGACATGTTGCCGAATGCATTGAGGCGATCTGAGATGATGACTGTGGCTTGCGAGCTGGGAGTTGGTATTCTTCAGATGGGACCTTCGCCGAGTACCTTTCGCGTGTAATCTATCCATGTGCGGAAAGCCTTCGTTGCGGCTGCTACGCTCACCATCGTCATCGCGTGCTGAACACCTTGAACGGCGTGTCGTCACTGCCGCGATCGAGTCCACCCAGCCATGCAAAGACTTGGCCGTCGAGAACACCCATCAAAAGATGATGGCTATGATTGAGCTGGCAGTCGAATGGTTTGTTGGGGCAGACAAAGACGGGTTGGGCAAGCTACCATGGGGAGAGTTGCGCGATGCCATGCGAGACGACAAAGTGCGAACCATCATTTTAGCTAGTGGCATCGACGTCGCGAGCGCTGGGGAGATCTTCCAGCTGCTGGACACGGATGGCTCGGGCTCAGTCTCGCCCGAAGAGTTCGTTGGCAATCTCATCGCGCTGCAGGGCTACGCAAAGGCTGCCGACGTGGCTTCTCTCCGAGAGGCTCGCGAGACGACCTCGAAGCGGGTCGAGGACCTGGGGGCCGCGCTCCGCGAGCGCGCCCCTCGGCTCGACAGCGCGGCATCGGCTCCACTCCCGCCGGCCCCGCTGGAGCGGCGGCCGCCGAGCCCTCGCCCCGTGGCGATGTGAACAAGCGCAGGCGGCCTGCCCATTCCTTCGGAAGGCTGGAGCAGCTGCCTGCAGTTCAGAAGGAGTGCTTCTCGCAGTTGCATGCGCGAGACAACTCATCCACGTGCATGCGAGCTGGTTCTCCCATACTTCAGTCTCTGCGCGGCGCGTCGAACTCCGTGTTAAAAGGCACGGGACAGCTGCAGCTTAGCGATGGGACCTCAGAGATTTGGGTTGTGCATTCAAATGATTAATTTGTCCTTCAATGATCATGGCAATCCACTAATACTTCTTGACGCATTACGTGCTTGTCAGACGACCTGATATAACTCAGATGTTATTTCAACGCGTCTTCACTGTCCACTCGCTGTTGATGGAGTTGGCACTTCGTGATGAATCGCCCGCTAAGTTGAAGTAGGTAAGAATGAAAAATGTAGCAACGCACTACGTCAGAGCGAGGCGGCGGAACGGTCTTTCACCGTCCCCAGGTGCCGGAGTGGACGTTGCTCGCCCGGGCTCGCGCGGTTGCGCGTTGCGCCCAAATTTGAAAGTTTGAGAAATCAACATGCCTGACATGTTCCGCGATCCACCGTTGCCGCGCGCATGGCGGCCGCGAGCGCGCCGCCGGGCCCGCCGCCGCCGCCGCTGCCGCCATCCGCCAACGCAAGTGCGACTCCTCGAGGTTCCGGTGCCCCCCAGCGATGCGCCAGCGCTGTGGGTCACTTTCCTGCGGGAGGGGCTGAGGCTGGCGCTGTGGCCGAGGCTGGGGCCGAAGCTGAGGCTGAGGCTGAACCTTGAAGGGCAAGTTGAGATGACCATCTGAGCGCGGGGCGGCGGGCGAAGGGATGAAACATCAGAGGTGCCGAGGAGAAGGAGGAGGCGAAAACGTAGCCGTTAGTGGGCCACGCCACACTCGATGGGGGCGTGGAATGGAGACGCCGCAAGATCATGCAAGAGCGCCCGAGCGACGATCGGTTCGAGGCGGACGGAGATGATGATGGGAAGCGGCACGATGTTGAAACAGGGTGCTGGCGCAAGACAAGTCATCCGACAAAAGCAACCGCTTGGACAGATGACGACCCCGAGCAGGCTTGTCAGGAGGAGGACGCGAGGGCGAGGGGCCAGGGGTCCTCGTCATTGCTCATCGGGGGCGCCTTGACAGCAACAACCAGAAGGAAGAACGCCAGTAAACAAAGGGTTGTCGGGTCCACGCCTGGACCTATGACTTTAAGTTGTTTTCGTGCCCACCTGCCTGGCGAGGCAGGCCCCGCCGCCGCGCGTTCACTTTTCCCGTCGAGATGGCGCGCGACTTGTCGCGGGGCCCCTTGGGGCGAATGGGCGCTCCCCCAGTCAAAATCAATAATGCGGATGCGCGAGAAGGATTCAATCACCTTGGGCGCTCTCGTCGAAGCTTTTTGAGCGGGGCCGGCGATCGAAAGTGATAAAAAATGGGCCGACGAAGCATGGGTGCAAGGGCACCCTTGGGAATCGGGAAGGTTATTCATCCTTGCCGTCAATGGCGGCTGCCTTGTGAGGCTGGCGTGGCTTCCATGAACGGGGCCCGCTTTCGTGCGCATCTGCCCGGCAGCAGAGGGAAACCTTTGCCCCGAGCGCAATACATCAAACGAATTTGACTACCCAATGTGACCCACGCTGCTGGGCCGAGCACGCCATCGGGTGGAAAATTGCACACGATCAGGTCGAGGGCAGGTTATTTCTGGGAGTGTTGGACCTGACCCGATGGAGTGCTGTAGAAGTCTGGCGGAAGGTGCCACGGTCTTTGGGAGTAGTTCAAGCATCCTGGAGGAGTCCGCCACGTCGTCGAGTACGCCGCACAACTTTCCACAAAAGAGCTGTTTTTTTCAGTCTGGGCGATAACGCTCGTGATCGCCCCCGCCCCTCCAATCCCCCACCCCCCGATCACGTCACGCCGTTTTCCCCACATGTCGCAGGGAATATTCCAGGGTTTCCAGAACATCTCAAGGGTTTCCCAGGAATTCGTCGTCGTCGATGCTTCCCAGGAGTTCGTCGTCGACTCTGTATTTCCTGCTCGTGCTTCCGCTGCTGCTTCTTTTCCTCCTCAATCCCCTCTCCCTCCTCTGCTTCCTCTCCCTTTTCCTTATCTTCTTCCCCCCGAGTGCCTGGAGGCCCCAAAAAGGCCCGGGAGGCCGAAACCCGCCGTGATGTGATCGGCCCCCCCCCCCCCCGATCACGCCCGCTATCGAGGATAGTACGAAAACATGCTCAGACCTTCGGAACCAGATAGCACAAGGGGACTAGAGTGGTTTGACTAAGGAACGCTTGCTCTTCAAAAGGAGCTCGGTCGTTCCTGAAGTTTGCTGCATGCGTGATTCGTTCCTTAGGCTTGCATGCGTTATTCATCGATCCTTGTTAATTATGTATGATTGATCGTTCCTGGTGCGTTACCCCTTGGAAACAAGGGCTTCGTTCCTCAGGCTTGCATGCGCGATTCGTTCCTGAGGCTTGCATGCGTTATTAATCGCTCCTTGTGCGTTATGTATGATTTACCGCTCCTTGTGCGTTACCCCTTGGAAAAAAGCGACCTCGTTCCTTACTCATCGCTCCTTAGGCCAAACCGATGGCTGCAGCAACCAACAAAAAACGTGGCCCCGGAGTGGTTCGCACATGGCTCCGCTTTGGACGCTCTGGGTGCGCGGCGCCACCACGGTGCCCCTCCCCGTGTCTTCTGTGGGCTGCGTATCTCAGGCCGCCCCACGTATTGCGTATCGAGCGTGGATGTTGTACGGGTTGGCCTACGTATTGGCGAATGTATGCAGCCATATCTACGTACTGGATCTACGTGTTGAGCCCCGTATCAATACGCTCCGGATTGCGTACTGCGTATCGGGGCAGCAAAGGCTCTTCATTGTTTCGTCATTGATCGGTATCGTTTCACCGACCCCCATTCCCATCCCCGTCCCCGTCGCGACCCCCACAACATTACCACCTCAGTGGGGGATACACCCCCTGAGACCCGAAGGGAACGACATACATCCCCATCCAGGGGGGGTAAATCGGCCAGTGGGGCCGAGGCCACGCCGCTGGGGATGGGGATCGGATAAACGATGCTCAATTGATCGCCGCGGCGGTTCAGGAGGAGGAGGAGGAGGAGGAGGAGGAGGAGCCAGAGGATCAGGAGGAGGAGGAGGAGGAGGCGGAGGAGGAAAACGAGCAGGAGGAGGAGGAGGAGGAGGAGGAGGAGGGAAGAGGAGGAGGAGGAGGAGGAGGAGGAAGGGGAGGAAGGGAGGAAGAGGCGACGAAGGAGGAGAAGATGTAGGCGGAGGAGGAGCCCGAGGCAGAGGAGGAGGAGGAGGAGGAGGAAGAGGAGGAGGAGGAGGAGGAGGAGGACGAGGAGGAGGAGGAGGAGGAGGACGACGACGACGAGGAAGAGGAGGAGGGGGAGGACGAGGAGGACGAGGAGGGCGCGCGCGTGTCGGCGGACGGGCTGGCGAGCGCACGTGAGCGGGGCATGCCCGCGCGCGTTTTGGGCCGGGAGGAGGGGGGGGGGCGGGCAGCGAGTAGGAGGACGACAGCACGAGAGCGCGAGTGGGATGGGGACCCGTGTTATGGGCGTCCCGCCGCAGGCCCCCCCGCGCGCAGGTGCCCCCCCACTGGAGCCCCGCCCCCCCGCGCCCCGCCGCAATGACGCAGCTCCTGCTGGCCGCTCTGGCCGCCGTGGAGGGGGGGGCGGGGTCACCCCCCCTCATCCGGCCACCTGCTGGTGGTGCTGCTGAGTGTCCTCCTGCTGGTGCTTCTGCTCCTGACTCCCGTCCCCCCGGTCCTCCTGCTCTTTCTGTTTCTCCTGCTCTTCCTCCTCCTCATCCTCCTGCTCCTCCTCCTCCTCCTGTTCCTTCTCCTCCTCCTCCTCCTCCTCCTTCTCCTCCTCCGTGCCCTCTCTACTGTCTTTGTTCCTTTTCCTCCTGCCTCCTCCTTCCCCTCCTGCTTTATCCTGCTTTAGCTCCTACTCCCTCTCCTCCTCCTCCTCCTTCTCCTCCTCCTCTTCCGTAGCCAGATTGGCTCAAGACTCAATGCGGTGGTGGGCAGAGCCCACTGGCATTGCACGGATACCGCTGTCACCGCGGCCAGACCTCCACGGGACCGCGCAGCCCCGCGCCCGCGCGCGCGCCCGTCCACGCCTGAAGGACCCAAGCGGAAGAGGAAAGGTCGTGCCGTACGTGCTGCTGATGACTCTGGCGCGCGTGATGGTGCTGCTGCTCGGCCTCCACCGGAAGAAGACAACGCACGTTCTCAATCCCATCGGGGAGCTTCCAGCGACGACGGTAGCGACCACATGGTCTCGGAGGGCTGGGACGTGCACATCAAAGGTCTTATCCATGGAGAGTTACAAGCTAAGTTCCACGCCTTTCAGTCGGAGGTCACTGAGCTTGTCACGCCTCCGCCAGCAAAGCCGCCACCTCTGCCGTCGACCCCGTCATGGCCGCCATACGTGGAGTGGAAGCAGCAGTGCAGCAGGGACCGCAGACGTACAAAACTCAATTGGAGGCGCAGCCCAGGCCCGAATTCGAGGCGACGCAGAGAAGGCTTCAAGGCCAGAGCGACTCTCTCCAAGCGCAGGTGCGGGACATCGATGGACGGACTGAAAACTTGGCCAGCGAGATGGAGCAGATGCGTGGCATGGTGGATGAGCTTCGACGCGAACCTCTTGTGGCCAACCGTCAACCCCTCCACCCAAGCCAGCTGCTGGATTCGCTCGTGAAGTCGATGGAACCATTCTCAGAGTGGTGGCACCTACTTTTGTCAAAAAGAGCGACGTCCAGGGCTCCGTCGACAAGTGGCTCAAGGACGCCAAGCTCGACAGCTACTCGATCAGCGGCGACGACCAGGACAAGCTGTTCACGATCCAAGTCAACGGCGCGATCGGCACCGCTGGGACGAAGGTGCTCGCGGCGCTCGCGGCATTGCGGCCCCCAGGGAAAGGCAGTGGATGCGCTTCCCCATACCTGCTGCCAGTGGCGGCAGCACCCAGCTCCATATTGGCCCCGACAAGAACCCTTACCATATCAAGATGGATATCACTGGGAAGAAGATGGTCTCTACCCTCAGGGAGCACGACTCGGACTCCAAGTTCTTCTTCGATCGGCAAAGTGGGTGGATATCTGGGAATTGGAATCCTTTCGTGGGCATTGAGCCTCAGCCTGGGCGCGGGCCCACCAAGATCTATTGGCACAGCGCTGCGTTACCGGCAAGGCAATGGACGCGGGCTGATCTCCGACGGCTACTTGAACCGATTGCAGCACCGACAGCAGCTCCTGAGCGGTCGCTTTAGCCATTTCGGCGACATCTTTGTTCACAGCGTGCTTTGGAATACGGCCCTCGGGCGGCCGAACTTATTTTCACGACGTGGAATGCTGGGGCATTACTTCGGTGGCGTGGTCAGCAGGCAATGGCGAAAGCGACGTACATGCAGCAAGCAGGAGTCACGTATTCCATCTTCGCGCTCCAAGAAGTACACCAATCTTTGGAATAACTACAGCTCTTCATGCAGCGCGTGGCGCCTGGAGCTACGGTTTTTGGTTCTTTTGACCTGGGCTCGCATGGGCATACTCGTGGGGGAGTGGTTACTGTGATTCCAGTGCCGCCAGCATCTGCTGCATCTTCTGACTCTCGTCCGTTGGTTCGTGGGCGCGCGCTTAAAACTTGGATGAAGGGTACTAGCGCAGAGATTCGGCACTACAATATTCACAATCATGATATTGCGAAAGACGATGTACGCACGATTTCGGCTGCAATGTTGGAGGATCTCTCTTGGGTTCACGAAGATCCTCGTGCGCGCCTGGTCGTGGTCTATGGGGGTCTCAATATCGCGGCTTCTGGTCCACTTCATCTGGTTGAACCTGTTCAGCGTCGTCAGGCGCAGGCTACAAACAACAACAGGACGCACATGGAGATATGGATGCAAGCCTTGGACAGCATGCTGGCAGTTGCGGCGGAAGATCATACCCATTACTGGAAGGATTCGCACTCTTTGGCACATATCGGCCGCATGTGGTTCTCCGAGCCAGGGTGGATGGCCTGCCAGCTACATCATGACGCATCGGTGGCCCCCTCTCCCGAAACATTCAATGCTCAAGAGGTTTCGGATCACGCTGCACTTCGGGTTCAACTTCAGCTTTGGTCTCTAGATGGTCAATATCGCCGGCCTGTACCTCGGTTGGTTTATCAGCGAGCGGAGTTTAAGGAGCGCCTAGACAGGCTTATTCTGCGAGATGGCAAGTACTTGGTGGACATGTCCCCTCCTCGGCAGCTTGAGCGCTACAAGACCTTGATGGATGCTGCCGCGCGCGACACCTTGCAGATGGTACTTGTGGGCGATGGCGCGAGCTCGGAGGCCCAGCAGATCTCCGCCAGACAAGCAGCGCTCGCGATATGGCGACAGGACCTTAGGTTTGCTCAAAAGGTTGCGAACTCGTCAGAGGTTTTGAGGAGTTGCGTTGACATCGCTGCCGATGGATCGGTCCGCCTTTTTCAGCCGTCTGTTTTCCAAGCTTGGGTGGAGACTGTATATCATCGTGCAGCTGAGCTTGAATGCGCACAGCTTCAGCACATTGCATGGCAAAGGGCGCGCGAAGGCCTCTCAAGAAACATTGTCGGCAGCGCAACGGAAAGCCAAGCTCTGGGTACCTTTTGGCAAGAAGCTAACTTCACGAGCCGTTCAAGTTGGGGATGTTCTGCTCTCAGATCCTGCCGATAGGTTGGAAGCCCTGGTCGACACCTGGGCACCGATCTCAGCGCCACCTCCCTCGTTTCCTGCGCATGCTGAAGCTTGCGCCAAGCGCTTCGTTAAGCCGTGTGTCTTTGATGGATTGTAGCCACCTTCCTTACGGATGGTGCAACGTACTCTTCGGCGGATGGCCCTTTCGAGATCTGCACCTGGAGTTGATGGGCTACCTGACTCAGCCCATTCATGAGTACGGAGCGGTTATTCTGTGGCACGCCTGTCGCTGGATGACGGGCGGCCGAGCGCTATTCCCCTCGGCCGGCTCTACGCTTCAGGAACTTTTACCGGAAGGCTGTCGCGCTGGCGACGACGATGTGCGCGGTGTTGTTCGAGCTGCTGATGCAGAGCGGACTCTTGGGCTTCGCAACACGGACGTGAAGGTTATCTCGGCGACCCTCAACACTGCGTTCTCTGCGATGGTGCGGCAAACTATTTCTTCGGCGCAAAGGGGGCTCACTGCTGGTCGCCAATTTTCGTCAAACATCCTGGAGCTAGGCTAGATGCGATGGCTCGCATTGCGTCTATGCAGCCTCAGGCGGAGAGCAAGCGGCCCATCTTGGTCGCGCTGGACTTCGGTCAGGCTTTTCCAAGTCTTAGCCAGCAGTGCCTCTTCACGATCCTCACCTCCAGGCAGCTGCCGGCGGCCCTTCCCGCGGCGTGCCGCTCGCTGCATGCCTCGATTACCGCTGTTGGTCGCATTGCGGGGATCACCAAAGATTTGTCATGCATTCTGCGTGGGATTATCCAGGGCGTGCTCTCTCTGGCAGCTTATTCGCAGCAGCCACGTCGCCGTTTCTTGAAGATCTCCGATTGGGTCTTGAGGTGCGGCACCGTGGTATCTTTCGGGCATGCGCCGACGATATCGGCGGGGTACCCTTCGATCGCCTGACCTTCGCTTCCTAGCGCGTGTCATGAGAATCGCTGAGAAGATTGCGAACTTGAAGCTCAAGCCGCCGAAGTGTGTGATCGTTCCGCTCGCGCCGGCCGTCAACCCTGAGATCGTCGCTGGTTTGAGGCAGTTGTTGGCGACAGTCGCCCCCGAATGGGTCGCCTTTCGGATCGAGGCCATGCCGCTTTATCTTGGCATGTGGATTGGTCCAGCGACGTCAGAGGTTTGTATTTGGCTAGCACCCTGGGACAAGTATCGGTCGCGAGTGGCTGTGCTGGCCTCATCGGCCGCTCCAGCTTCTCTCAATGCTATCAACTACGTGGCCCGTACCCTGCCGACGATGAGCTACATTGCGCCGTTCCAGCCCCTTCCCAAGCAGTTGCTCCAGCTGGATATTCATGTTTTCGTTCGTCTTCTTCGGCTACCTGGTGGCGCCTTAAGATGCATCGATTTCTTTTGCTTGGGGCAATGGGGAGGACCTAAGCTTCGGGCTCTTCGTCCTTCCTGCGAGGCGACGCTGATACGGTTTGGGCTCACCACTCATCGTGAACATGCTGGGTGCCTCGCTCGCCTTCGTCGGGCGGCTGAGCGCTGGGCGCCCCATCGGGTCCTGGCTGATCTTTATGGCCAGCTCTCTCTTCGTTTTTGGGTACTGCCCTCGTTTGTCGAACAGATAGCAGCAGCTTCGAAGAGCAACGCCTCTGCGGGGGCAACTGCCGCTCGTCGTCTTATCCAGGAGCGCCCCGAGGCGCGGCGCTTGGTTCAGAAGACAGCACATTCGGCCATTGTTCAGAGCACGATGCAGCCATTCTTGTCTAACGCCAAAGGTAGCGACTCACCGTTGATTGACGCGATTATCAAGCGCTGGACGAAATGGCCCCCGCAAAAAGCTGTAGAGCTCGCCGACATCGACTGGAGCGTTTTGAAAGATAAGCTGCTGGCTTATCCAACGGCATGGGCATCGTCATCATTACGGGGGCTCTGCGGTGGCTGGCTTACGACAGCTCGTACTTCCTCGCCGACCGGCGTCCGTCCTTGCATATTCGGGTGTGAAGGTTGCCTCGACGAGATCGGTCATTACTAGGAATGTCGTGGACTGGCACGGGGTATTGCCATGGCTAAGTCTGGAGGACGCACCCTTTTACTTGGGGACGTCTTAGACCGCTGGGGTCTTCGAGGAGGCTACGACGACGACCTACTGAACCTTCAGCTCGCCACCATCATCTACCACGAGGTGCGCCACTCGGACTACGTCGATCCTGATCACCTTCTTCAAGCAGCACGAGGGGCGATCCGTGCGAGGGCCTTAGCGAGTCCGACGACGGGGCGAGTTCGACAGCATCGCAGGCCAGTTGGGTCGATTCGTCCGCGGGTACCCTCCCTTCCAGAAGAGCGCCCACAAACCTCATGGCCACCGCAGTTGCTCCCGCCTCTTCCTGAAGGCCAACGTACGCTTCACGACCTTCCTCCTCGTCGTGCTCGGTTCCCGCATGCCTTCGCGGAGGTTCGATTTGCCATTTTACAGCCGGAGGGAATAGGGGTGATTATGGCTTCGCGGGTTTCCGATCTGGGTCTGCTGGTACAGTCTTGGGTGCGCAATTGGGTTGGCTCCATGGTCTTTGCGAGCAATGGTCTGCCTGACTTCGACGACTGGATAAAATGGGCGACAGACTTTCTGACGATCGTGTTCCGCTACAAGTGCTTCTTGGGTTTTTTCCATGATGATGCGCCGTCGCTGGAATGCCGTGCTGTTTTCGCTGCTGGTATGGCACGCACTGAACAGCACAATTCGGCACGTGATCGCAGCGCACTTCTTCAACACCTGGCGGAACTTCGGCAAGCCCAGTCTGATCTCTGGCTTCTTGTTGCACGGGAGCGAGGGCGCGATTTGCTGGCTATTCGTGGATGGGTGCACCACGCTTCTATCTTTCTCAAGGTCACCATCGAGGTGGTCGAGGATACCGCCCTTCTGCAGCCTGAGGTTCGTCATCTCCTGCCTGAGCTTGATGTCCGTCTTCGCGATGGTCTTGATGATTTCGACGGTCGCGTTGATGATCATGCTTTGCTGCTGCGCGATATTGACTTCAGCGAGTCGACCGTCAACTTACCAACGCTGGATCCTCTTCGGAGCATTTCAGGGTCTTCAGTGGGTGCGGCGCCTGACCTGCCGCACATGGGCCACCCCCACTACGCTGCGTTGGTGGGTTGCATCGGTGTTTGGTCACAGAACTGGATCCCCACTCTGGTGCTGTCCAGCAGCGGGAGCGACTTCCAACAATGGATGAAGTGGTGTGTGCCCTATGTTGCCGACACGCTGCGATTCTCTGGCTTCAGAGACCTTCTCCAGTGCGCGGCCAACGCCATCTCGGACTGTGCTAAACGCCGGGAAATGGCTATCGAGCTTTGCATGCACGGCTGGTACTCGGGCGCGATTCCACGGGAACGTCTGCGTCAACAAGTTCAGCATCCATGGCCCCTTCATGAGCGCCGTCGGCTCACCATGCTGAGACGACAAGGGATGGCACTGCTGCGACGGCCGGACTGGCGCCCGGACATCACGAGGATGCCCGTCGAAGAGCGAGCTGAATTTCTGCACATTCAGAAGACTTTCTTCCATGGGCCCCCCAAAGCTCTTCAACCTCAGCTCCACCTTTCACCTCATCTTCATTGTCAAGGTCAACCTGGGCACGGTGCGGCTGATGGACCTTGCCCCGACGAAGATGATGAGAGCTTTGGAGAAGACGGGTACACCAAACAAATGATGTCGAGATCGAGCGCATGGTGGAAGCGGCAGATGCAGTAACGGCTTCGTCGGCAGCAGCGACCGCACCACCGATTTTGAAGATGATGCGATGCATCTTGCAGAATACCCACACCACTTTGGAGTGATTCGGACTGACGAGGAATTCGAAGCGCAAGTACAGATGGCGCTGCAACGTTCTCGGGAGTTCTCCCGTCGCGAGGGTGGGAAGGGTACGGCTTCGTCTTCCTCGGCCCCTCCTGCGGCACCGTCGTCTCCTGCAGTGGAGGACCCACCGGAGGAGGTAGCGTCGAGCAGTTCGGATGATATGTTCAACCACACAATGGCGGCGCACGGCCTTGGTGTGATATACCCTGATGGGACGCTGGGTGGAGCTTATAAATCTGGTACAGCGACTTCATCGGCTGGAGGTGCTCCTGCGTCTTCGAGCTCTGGTGCAAGGCCGGCCTTTTCTGGTGCGGGCGGAGCGGGCGTGCCAAGTGGCGGTGCTGCGAGCAGTGGGCAAGGGTGCGCAGACGCGGATGAACTTCAAGCCTTCAATCAATTTCGTGCTCTTCAAGCGGCTAGCGTGTTCGTCAAGTCCGTGACCACCGCTGCTCACAATGGGACTCCACCGATGGACGATGGCACGAATGCGATGACGCCCTCGCAGCTGATCACGGCCACTCGGCATCTGAACTCACACTATGCTCTTCCCGACTACCAACGGGAGCTAGTACTGTGGATGCTGCACCGCCCTGGATCTGTTGGAAATGGACGGTGTATATGGATCTGCGCACCTACCTGGCTTTGGAACCGATATCGCCTTTCGAGATGATGAGGATGAGATCTTCGATGAACTCATGCTGGCCCGCGCTTCAGAAGACGCGGATGGCGAGAATGGAACTGTACTGAACACCTCCGCGGTCCTAGCCACCGAGACCGTGCCCGACTCCGATGACGAGGACGAGTTTAACCATGCTCTTGCTGCAACCATGGCGTCTGGCTTGGGCAATGCGGCGGGTCTTGGTATGATGTTCTGGGGGTCGCGGGTGCTGGCGTCGATGTGGAGCAAGCGGGCGCCGGTGGATCTCGCGCGCCACCTGGTCCACCACCTGGATGCTTCGAGGAGGTGCTGGCGCGGGGTGGTGTCGTCGATGGCGTCGGCGAGACTCCCGCGGTGGCCGCCGTGCCTGATGCAGATGACCGAGCTGGCCCTGCTCTGGTTCTCGGCGATGGTGAAGCAGATGATGTGGATTCTGACGGTTCGCTTGCAGAAATTTCTCTAGGTGGCGATAGCATCGATGAGCCTGCCGCTATCTGGGACCCCTTGGTCGACGATGGCGCTGATCCACTTGCAGGTGATATGCTTTCTTCTGGGCTCGGCGCGGCTCCTGCTCAACAGCCTCCATCAGCTAATCCAGTTCGGCAAGGGTGTGAGTTGGGTCCCGCTGCTGCTGGCACTGGGCTTGCGGGGAGGTTGGATGGTGACGGCGTGGGAAGCCTCTGCTCAGCAACGTGTGCTTCGCCCCCTGGCACGTCGTCGGCTGCACCTCGCCAAGCTGATGGGGGTAACCGTGGAGACGCTTCACGAGGTGATGGAGGACCAGACCAAGCAGTTCAGCAACCTGGACTCGACGCTGGGGATGATCTCCCGCCTGCTGATGTTCATGCCGTGGCGATGGACAGCGACGAGCAGGACACTGACGGCCTCGCCGTCGTCGCTGGCCTCGAGGTGGACGACGACTTCAACGACTTCAACTCTGAGGAGGCGGGCGGCGCGAGCAGCGCGGCCGAGGCCTAGGCGCGGGCGGAGGGATGGTGCGCCTCTTCAGTGGCGTGGGCTCCTTCTCCTCCTCTTCCTCCTACATTTGCCGCTCCTCCCGCTTCGCGGTGCTCTCCAGCAGTTGCGCCTCGCCGGGAGCGTTCCCGGGTTGCTTGGATCGCCCCGAACGGCCGCTGGAAACTTGAGCTACGGCGCGACAACCAAAAGGGTGCCTAGATCTCCGACCATCAGGTGGTTTAAATCCCGGCTCTGTTTCTTGCTTTCGGACCCTGGGGCTTGTTGCCGGGCCCCAGGACCAGAAATGGAGCCGGGACGCGAAGCTACCCAAAAGGGAGAGGGTCGGGAGCTTTGGAGCCGCGCATTGAGCAACAACAGCAGCAGCAACAACACCAACACCAACACCAACACCAACACCAACACCAACACCACCGACAACAACAATCATGTTAAGTCTGTTCGCTCTTATCTGCTCGCCTGTCATTCAATATGCATATCCCAAACCCTGGATACCCGCCCTCTTCGTCTTCGATCGTGGCCCCCTTTGGGGGTATATTCATTCCCTGCCTCGCGTGGTTGGTGAAACCCGTGAAAACGAAGGGTAACAGAGAACGGGGGGGAATGAGGATGAACGGATCGGAGGAAGGGAGGGGAGGGGCAAGAAGGAGGGAGGGCGATGATTTGCGCTATGGCTTGCGCTAGCCATTCCAACAGAGATCAACAATAAATTTCGCCATGGGTCGCGCCATAAACAGCGCCACGTACCACCCTTGGAAAAACAAACATCGTGGATACCCCCACGGGGGGACTTACAGCTGCGAACTGGTGTCAGAAATTTCGTGGAACCCTGATAAGAAGCGGGATGATGGGATAGTGGGGCGGAAGGATACAGAGAACTGCAACTGCGTCGAAACGAGCGCGGGGATGTGGAGTGGATTGGGATGGAGTGGACAAAAGTAGGGTCTCAGGAGGAGGAGCGGCAAGAAGTGGAGATCAGGAGCCCGGAGGAGTGCGGAGGAGCGGGGGGCGCACGGAAGAATCTGGAGGCGGGACTGGGAAGAATTTGGGAGAAATGCGGAATGCGAGCGGGGAAGGGTGGAGATTGTTGGGGTTGGATGGGGTGGCCTGGGGAGGAGTGGGCGGAATGCGAAGAACTGAAGAGTAGCACAATGGAGTACGAACGAAATGAACATGAAGATAAAGGGAAAGAGTAGAGAAGACGAGGGAAAAACGTTGAAAAGTGGGGGCAGGTGAATACGAGCGGAGACAGGTGCGGAAACAAGGCGCGGGGGGCCTCGGAATGGCCCCGATGACCACCGAGCAGTTCCAGAGGCTCCGAAAACCTGCGGGAACGCCCCGGGGGCCTCGTCGAGGGGGGCCTTCATTCGATGCTTGCAGAAGAACCTGGGCCAATGGAACACGCGCATCTCAAAGGCCGGCAAACCGGGCCCAGGCAAGCGGCGGATCGTCGGCCTGGCCAGTGGCAGCGCTGGCGATGCACACGCCGACCCGCGGGAACCCGACCCATAGACGGACAGACAGCGGGTTCACCACGACGACGACGACCGCGACGAGAGGAGGGAGGAGGAGGAAGAGGAGGAGGGAGAAGGAGGAGGAGGAGGAGGAGGAGGAGGAGGAAGGAGGGAAGGAGGGAGGAAGGGAAGGAGGAGAGGGAGGAGGGTGGGGGCTGAAGGGCCGACAGGCTGGCCCTCGGCGGGCGGCGGGGCAGTCGCACGGATTATCGGCCTGGCTGGCTGAAGGGTCGGAGTGCCGGGCTCCACGCGGCAGGCGGGCCCCAACGGGGGCGGCCAGGGACGACGACGACGACGACGACGACAATGGCGATAAGGGGAGGGAGGGAGGGAGGGATGGAGGGGGAGGAGGGAGTTGGGAGGGACGGAGGGGCGGGAGGGACAGCTGCGAAAGCAGAGAAAGAAGAGGGAGAGAGAGAGAGAAAGAAAGAGAGAGAGAGAGAGGGAGAGAGAGAGAGAGAGAGGAAGAGAAAGAGAGAAATAGAGAGAGAGAGAGAGCGAGAGAACAAAGAGAGAGAGAGAGAGCGAGAGAAAGAAAGAAAGAGAGCGGGTGGGTCGTTGAAACGTAACTTCTGCCTGAACCGCCAGGCAATATGTAGCGGGAGCGCGATTCCTGAGTGTCGAGGAGCGGCATCTGAATACATTGTGAGGAAAGATCAGGCGGGAGCCGCGAATCGGTGGTAAGTTGCGAGTAAGTCCCAAGCGAGAGCGCGACTCTTCAAGAAATTGTAAAGAAGTATCAAGCGGGAGCCGCGATCCGGTGGTACATTGTAGGGAAGTCCAAAGCGAGAGCGCGATTCTTGAATAAAAGGTGTGGAAGTATCAGGCGGGAACCGCTGTTGTTGTAAACCGGGGGCCGACAACGCAGTTTGACCTTCAAGGTTTTCCTTGATAAAAAAAAACTGGGTGCGAGCCCCAGGAAGGGCACTTCAATCGTAAAAACAATGTGCACAGGACGGAGGGGGTCAACAATCATCATTCTTCAGAAGTAAGAGTTCAATAACAACAACAACAAAGAAAACAACTGCACCACAGAAAACAGCAGCAGCAGAGAAAACAACAGCAACAAAAACATCGGCGGATATCTGGGCATTCTTCCGCCGCAAGCCGCCGTGGGCTGCGAGCGCTGCAGCGCCGATCTCTGCGCGCTCGCACCGCGGCCGAGTGAACACCCGTTGGGGCACCAGGCCGCTCATCATCGGGCCGCTGGCGGCCAGGCCGGGGTGTTCGGCCCTGTGGAGGACGACGACAGCGAAGGCGAGCGAGAGAGGGCGGAGAATCGGGAGGCGGAGGAGCAGGAGGAGGAGGAGGAGAGGAGGAGGAGGAGGAGGAGGAGGAGGAGGAGGAGGAGGAGAGAGGAGGAGGGAGGAGGAGGAGGAGGAGGAGGAGGAGGACGAGGAGGCGGCGGAGGAGGAGGAGGAGGAGGAGGAGGAGGAAAAGGAGGCCTAGGCGGAGGAGGCCGAGCCCTAGGACTCCGAGGCGGAGGAGGCGGCGGCGCCGCCACCGCAAGGCGAGCAGGAGGCGGGAGAGCGGCCAGGCGCCGGCGGGTGCAGCACGGCGCGCGTGTGCGCGCCGACCGCCTGCCCCGGGGGCCCTCTCGGACTCAGGAGTCCTGGGGCCGCGATGAGGTCTTGCACGCAGATGGATGGCCCTACGCGAGACGGCTTGCTCGCTGTGAGTTTAAAACTCACATGCGAGGTTGATGCGAAGCGTGAGGCAGCACGTTGGCTAGCACGCTTGGCAGACGAGGGGCCTGGAGCTATGGCAGCGCACGAGGAGGAGGAGGAGGGGAATGAATGTCGAGGAGAAGGAGGAGGAGGAGGAGGAGGCAGCGCAGGGGGGGCAGGCGATTGGGTACCCCGTGTACTCCCCAGGCAGCGCGGGGGACACCTGCGACAAGATCAGGAGTCGCCAGCACCACCACCCCCCTCTCCTCAGCGGTCTGCCGCCCACGCACATCCGCCCACGTCCCCCTTCAAAAGAGGAACAGGTAGCCAGACCGCTAGCCTTCCCTCGTTTTCGCCTTTTTTCGCATCCTGGGAGACCGCTGGATTCGAATGGAAACCGGGTTGAGAACGCACCCCGGAAGAGGTCCGGGGATTAGCGGTATGGGTGCCTTTTGGTTTCCACACGCTTGGCGTCCAGGCGTCAGTTTTCGCCTGCGCAGGTTGCAGCTCTGCGGTCGGAGCCCACCTTCAAGGCGATGGTGCGTTTACGACACGACGTCAAAAACTTCCCCGCGACAAGCCCCAGGAGCTTCGCGGGCCCGTCCTAGCTTGACTTGGCAACTTCCAGATCGATGGCGGTTTGTTGGCCGCTCGTTTGGTCATTGCTTCTGTGTGCTATCGGAATCTCAAGGCATCCCACGCCGTTTTTTGTACGACTGTGAGGCCCCAGAGGTTTGGCCTCTTCCTTACTGTCGTGCTTGTTTCTCAAGTCGAGCCGTTTCCGACGGTCCCCATGCGCCGTGCACGACGGATGGGTCGTCAAGCCTTTGATTTCAGTTCGTGCTACACAAGACCGAGTCTTTCGGATACTGTTGGGCATGAGCCACAGAGGGGGCCTGGGGCAACCACCCCTCCCAACCAGATGGGGGAGAAGGAGTCTGGAAGCTCGGACCCGCTGAGCCACCGACGCCCAGGGGCGCGTCCAGATTCCTAGACGACGAATCGTATTGTTCGAACAGGGAGGGGATCGACTACATAATCGATGTGTACCCAAAGTGGTTTGTCCGCCGAGTCGGCAAAAAGTGCGTACAACATTCCGTCGATCTACGCAGCATTCGACGTATGTTTCGTTCCAGCGTCAGCAACCGAAGCTGGCCCACGCTTGCTTTAAGAAACTTCCGGGTAGCTCGAAGTGCATCCTCCTCCTTTTGGATGCGTCCGCCTCTGGCGGTTGATTTGCCCGTCGAGTCTACGAGAAGTGCGGACAATGTCCCGTAGAGCTAAGGATCATCCGACGCATTCTTCGTAGACTCGCGGGGGGGAAATCACGTTTGGGGTAAATCAATTTCTGTTTGCACGTTTGGGTTCTTGTGCGTTTTTTTGTTGGGCACCCCGCGCAGTCCTCTCGCCCACCCCCTCCCTCAATCAGACATCACACTCATCACGATTACCATCATCCTCACCATATCATCAGCATCATCATCATTCTCATCATCTTCACTATAGTCATCACACCACCGTCATCATCATCGCTGTCACCATCCCATCAGGATCGTGGTCATCATCCTCATCCTCATTATCATCATCATCATCATCATCATCATCATCATCATCATCATCATCATCATCATCATCATGAGAGTGCGTTGCACACCATTGATCGTTCTTTCCCGCGGCCGTTTTCAACCCTCAAGGTTTTTGCTGCGCAACAGGAGCGCACGGACCATCCCCGCGTGTTGATGCTCTGGGCCTTTCTCGCCTCGACCGCGTCCGTGCAGGTCGCGACCAGCAGCTTGGTCACCGCCTTCTCGGCCTGGGTGCTGCGCGGCGTCTTCTCTGACGCCGCGGAGGCCGCGCGAGCGGCGGGGAGGGCGGAGGTAAAGTGCCCTGAGATCCTGGAGCCGATCTGCCACTGCCACTGTCAGTGCGAGGCGGTGTCGGCTCCAAGCAGCGGGGGTCACCAGTCTTGGCAGCTCATCACGTGCGCGCTCGTCTGCCTGTTTTCTCGGTCGTGCAGGTGACAGTCACGTGCGTTCAGTATGGCGCTGGTTGGGCTTCCACCTGGGCCACCGCCCATTCCAGGTCCTCGGGTCCGGGGAGCGGACGGGTGGCCCTTGCCGACGGGGCCAGGGGGAGTGATGCTACGACGGGCGCTGGTGAAGTACGCGGGCGCGGGAGAGGACTTGTCACACGAGCGGGTTTTCCTGAATGATATGGTAGGAGGGCTCGTCACGATCGCGACCCCAGACTTCGACGTGTACGACGAGGATATGAGCGATCAGAACGTGTTCGAGATGGTGAGGTTCCTTGGCGACAACGGGGAGCTCCCGCTCGGTCATGGTGCAGCCCGCCTGTACCGCTTTCGGCAGCCGCCGACCGACGCGGAGGTGGACCAGCTGCTGGCCAAGGCGATCGGCGTCGTCGCCCTTCGCGGCGGAGGGGGAGCCGCGGGTGGCGCTGGCGGCCCAGCCGCGGGCGCCGCCGCTGGCGGCGCCGCCCTTGCGGCCCCCGCCGTCGCGTGGGTGATCGCGGAGCACGTGGACGGTCACAGCGTCGGCGAGATCGTCACACTGCCCGCGGGCGCGGTCCAGGCGAACGGCTACGGGCTCATGGTGCTGCCCAACATGCAGATCCCACGGCCCGTCTTGGTTAAGCAGCTGAACAACTACCAGGCGGAGGTCGACACGTTCTGCGAGGAGCGGATCAAGTGGTGTCGGGCGGTTACGGCGACTCACGGTAACGATCAAGCGGTTGGCGACGACGCGCGGACGTTGTCGGTGAAGTAAGGGCCCGACGGGACTCGAAGGCGCGAGTTCAGACAGTCGGTTCAGGAGATGACCATGACGGACTTCGACGACTGGCCGTTGAGCGGGCCTCGGACTACCGAGTGGATGTGCCGCGAGATGATCAAGATGGCGGAGGGGCCCGGGGCGCAGCACTCGAAGTGTCTCTCGGAGGCGGATCCCCGATGGAGATCGATCCGTCCACGAGGACGCCAACCTGGCGCTGGTGCAGGAGCTCGCGGTGACGTACGACGGGCTCAACGTGATGAATCTCGCGAGCATGGAGGCAGTTGCCCGCGGGCGCCAGTTGATTGCCGAAGCTCATCACGCCAACCCGAGCGCGCCGAGCTACGAGGGAGCGGCTCATCTCATGGGCGACGGGACGCGTGCAGGCGGAGCGCTGGTGTCACCGGCGCTGACGGCCCATGCGTCCGACCGGCTGCGGGCTGAGGCGGCCATTTCGAAGGGGAAGCGCAAGGCGGCGGAGGCGCACTCGCTTGCACCTGGTCGCGGCCGCGGGCGCGGCGGCAATGGTGCTGGAGCTGGCGCCGACGCCGCCTGGGCTGGCTAGCCTGCGGGCTCGGAGGCGCGGATTGGCTCGATCGCAATTCGCCGCTCCCCGAGAGCCTGTGTGCAGCGCGTGGAGGGCGGGCTTCGACTCATCCTGTTCGCCGCGACTACCTGTTCTGAGTCATGGCTGAGCCGCGCAGCGAGGCCACTTCTGCTGAGGGGGAGAACGCCCCAAGCATGTACCGCGATATCTTCCCATTGCCTCGACTCGCTGAGGGGCGACGAGGCGACCTGCGAGGGATGTGCCGTTCGACGACGCGACGCCTGACGCGTCGGTGGGCTGTGGCCGCTGCAGTCAACAAGTCGGTGGGCGCGCTCAACTCGCTGTACTTTGGTGCTCGTGATGTGCCTGCCCCTCCTGCCGTCTCTGATCTGATGACGTTGCCGCAGTGCCAGCGCGCAGCTCTCGCTCATCTGATGGGGCGGGTTCGCGAGCTGGGCCCTAAGCCTCCCAGCGTCACTCGCCCAGGAGCCCTTCAGGAGCTTCGGGCTTTCAAGCATGATTATGCAGGGGACCTGGGGCAGGGTACCCGGGCCCCCATGGTCTCGGAGAGACTGTCGCTTCCGGACGCGGAGCGCTCGCTGTTGATTTGGAGTCAGTCTTGGTAGGTTTGCCTCAGGAATGCCTTCAGAAGTTTGAAGACAAGATGCTCGTCGGGGCAGCGGTTTGGAGCCAGCTGTCGGACGAGGCAACCCGGGCGCCCCCCTGCACGGGCCCGGTTTTGAAGACCCCCTGAGGGTTGAAGGCTCTCGCCTCCAGGATGGCCTCTCGGGGACTTGCGAGGTTCACTCGGCGCCCTGTTGCTCGAATCGGGGCTTTCGCGGCTTTAAAGAAGTCGGGGATGCAACGCTTGGTTCTCGACTGCCGTCCATGTAATCTTAGGTTCGCCCTTCCCCCGCATACTGAGTTAGGCGGGTTAAGTTTTTTGAGTGACTTGGAGACCCCCGTAGGTCAGGCCCTGCATTGGGCCGAGGGTGACGTCAAGGACTGTTTCTACGAGTGCGGAATCTCCGATGAGTTTTCAGATTTCTTCGCGTTTGAGGTCGATGCCGTCGTCGGGGATCTGCTGGAGGCTGGTGTATCGGGGGGGCTCTTGAGTGATTTCGGGTTGAATGAGAAGGTATCGATGTGCTTGACTGTCCTGCCAATGGGTTTTACCTGGTCGTTGTGGTTGGTCCAAGAGTATCACATGCAAGTTGCACGAAGGGGGGCCTCGGAAAAGTTCGCCCTTTTTGACGGGCACCCCGTCCCGAGCACGCAGGCAGGCGAGCGCGTCTACATGGCGTACTGTGAAAATTTGAATGCGGGCGCTTTCTCGTGCAAGCAAGCAGGAGAGCTGCGCGATGATGTTCAGAAAAATATGGAGCAGGACGGTTTCACCATACACGACATCTCGGGGCCGCCCCTCGTCGCCCGCGTGCTGGGCTCGGTTCTAAATGGGGGCGCAGGTGCTCTCAGCCCGGACCCCGACAAGCTTTGGAAGTTGATCGTGGTGTTTGACTGGTTGAGTACAGGGCCCGTGGTTTCCGCAAAAACCGTCGAGAGGCTCATCGGGCACTACGTATATATATATATATATATATATACATATATATATAGATATCGCTATGTTGAATGGAAGCACGCCCCCAGTCTCGCGGCACCTGTATGACTTCGTTGCGCAGAGCTGCGAGCCCGAACGTCTCTGGCCGAGCTGCTGCAGAGAGTGTCGCATCATGACTGGTCTTCTGCCACTCGCCGTCGCTGATCTTCGTCAGGAGTGGAATCCCACTGTCACGTGCACCGATGCCTCGCCGACGGGGTGCGGAGTCTGCCAGCGCGATCTTGATGTTGAGAGCGTTCGAAGGATTGGGAGGTGGAGTGAGAGGTGGCGTTTTAAAAGAG